AATTCTAGGTTCTCTAACACTAAAAGGGCATTCCACCATAAGAAAAGGGACATGATTTGGTCCATATGTTGAAGCAGCTCCAATCATTTCTATGTCTTCACTTCCTGCCAATCTTGTTGCTCCTTGTGATGGTAAATTGAGTTGATACATCGCAAGCATTAACTCCTTCAATTGTTCTTATATTTGTGCCATTGCATTCTTTATTTTAGTAAGTTCTGCCATGATAACACTTAAAAAAGTAAAGATGTCTAATATCACTCAAGAAAAATAGAAGAAAGGACTTGAGAATAAAGAAAATACTAAGGACAATAACAGTTTAGAAGAGGGTAATTTACAACTTCTAATATGCTTATGTCTTATCAAGAGAAAGGGATAATCCACTCTTAATCAAGATTAGACAAAACTCTGATATTGTAAGTGTATTCTTGTCAATCTGTCAAGGACAAGAACATGATAAAAATAAATAAACAAGTGAGACTTCTCTCAAAGAAAGATGAAAAAATAGAAATAACTTGATTTGTATATTAAGAAAGAAATTGGAATGGCTATTGCTAAAAGCCAAGAAAACTAGAGACCCTTGAAATAGACTGGAATCAAGAAAGGAGTTGAGAAGAGTGAAGAAAGTTTCTTTCTTATCTCTATATATACTATCTAACTAAGGGCTATGTAGCGATGTTCTATTGGACCTCTAATATGTGTTGACTTTGTAGGACACATGTCTTGACTTACAAGGTAAGTTTTTTTACATGTGGGCCACATTGTTAGCTTGATCTTCAAGCTAACAATATGTGTGGCACATGGCCAACTTGTTGACCATGTTTCTAATCCAAAAAATCAATTAAAGACAACTATGAAGTCAAAGTAGCATCTATGAAGCTTCTAAGAAGCTTTTGTAGTAAAAATTATAGAATTAATTTACTTTTACATATTTTTGCTTACTTCTACTTATTTATATGTGTAATTACTGACTTACATGAGTATATCCGAGACACAAAGCTACTTACATTGCTATAAGTACAAGAATGCAATGATAGAGTAAAAAAAACTTTTGTATATCTTGTTGATGATATATGTTGTTGTATAGTATAATATTTTTCAAACAACGTTCCAAATTATAAGGTTGAATAGTTATAACTTGATCTTTGAAATTGTCAAAATATAAGAATACAGTGCCTTATTTTCATTGTCTACTAACTTACTTCACATTAAAAGTGACATCATTCACTCCTTTGTCTTCACAGCAATCACATGACAATTGTTTATTACAACATCACTTTTCGCCTCACTACCAAATACAAGCTCTTTCTCATTTTGTTCTAAGTCATTGTAATCATTGTTGATTTTTTTGTTTATTGAATATATGACTTCACCAACAATGATTTTGATAATCCCTTGTCAATGTAAAACACAATTTTACATTGATTTAGAGCTTTAGAGACAAAGTGACATCTTATCAAGTTTCAAAATAGAATAGCAACATAATCAAAGAAAGCATCATGCTCTGCTTTTGATTCGAGTTGTGCATATTCTTGGAATTTGATAGTATTTGCTTCTTCATATATAAGTCAATGTTGTTGTATTGAAATGGCGAATTCCAACTTTGTACATTGGTTGAGATCTTGTGTTCTCTTCTAATATTTTTTTTTGTAATAGAACACAATACAAAAGTAACACTACATCCTATTGACAACTAAAGTGTTGATACAATAAGAGACAATTTTCAAACCATACTTTGTATCATTGGCCTTGATATAATCCCAACTATGATTATTCAAAATAATTTATCGCTCTACTTTATTGTTGCGCATTTCAAAAAGTAATCTAAGTAGTTAGTAACTACTCTTGTGTGCACAACCATAATTTAAGCAAATTTAAAAAAGTAATATGGATAATTAAGGCTCTAAAATCTTAAAATACCTATTATAGATAGACTAATCTATATATAATATGAGTAGATAAAAATTGATTAATTTGATAATATTGATAAAAAAAATAATAAAATAAATAAAATAAAGCTACATAGACTTAGCTTTGTTTTTATGCATATATATATATATATATATATATATATATATATATGTGATTGATAGGTTAAAAACTTGGCAAAGAAGTTAACCCCTTATAATACAATTTGGACATGTGATACACATATAAAAAGCTTGTCTTGCAAATTAGACATGTATTTTGTAAGATAGATATATATTGGAGGTCATATAGAATATTGCCATATAGCTCTTATTTAGTTAGTATATATACAAGGAAGAGTGAGGCCTTCATCTCTTTATTCAATTTCTTTCTTGCTTCTAGTTAAATTTCAAGAGTTTCAAGATTTTATTATCTTTGTTTATAATTATTGAGATTGACTTGGTTCAATTTTATAAAAAGATTTACTTGTATTATTTTAAATTTAATATTACTTCTAAATGATTAAAAAAATTATATGTAAAAAATTTTATTTGCTAATTATAAGACTCAAAATTGAAAGGAATACATTCTTAATTAGCAAGATAATTTAGTTTTTTTTGGTTATATCAAAAAATTTAAAAATCATGTATTAAAAAATTTAGCTCAAATATTAAGGACTAAAATATAGAGAGAGTTCATCTATAAAAATTGTAGAAAAATTATAAACTTCCATATAGAGAAATTAAATTATAAAAAAGTATGTATTTATAAAAATTAATTTATAATACTTAACAAAAATGTTACACTACCTTAAAGAATATAAAATAAAAAACTTTGTGAGGATATTATTTACTTAATTAAATTTTTCTTTGTAATTAGAACAATTGGTTACATATGTATATATATATAGAGAGAGAGGATTTGTAATAAAAGAATTTTTTCTTAAAACATCAAATATAACTTTAATTAAATATTATATAAAAATAACAAACAAGTATGTTCTATGATAAGATTATTATTGTAATTGGTAAGATTTCGAAACTAAATGTTTGTTTAAAAAAAAAACAAATGTCATAAAACTAATTATTTAGAGAGTATTAATATTTTAATGTTTTTCAATCACAAAAGTTAAGAATCATTTTGTAATGGTCAACAAATAATCAACTAATAAAAATTCATATTAATTATGGATTATCATGCATTGATTTCTAAGCAATAATCTTTTTAATAATACTTCCAAGTCAATCTCTTTACTTTATCAAAACTAGATACATGTTTTAAATAAAAAAATAAAAAATAAGTTAATATGAATATAAATATATGATTAAAATTTGTGTTTGTTCAACAAAATAATTATATCATTGATGTAACATGCACAATTTGTTATTTTTAATCTTATTTTTCTTGCATTGGCTTTTAAAAAATTGCTCTTCAATTTTCTATTAAAAATTAAGTAAATAAGAAAAAATACAATGAAGTCAAGGTCAACATTAATAATAGAAATTAATGGCCATTGTAAAACAAACCTTAGCCTTAACAACTAAGAAAAATGAGTTTTATAAAATGGATGTTATTTCATAAAGAATATAATTGGGTAATAATAAATTAATCTTTTTAAAGAAAAACTTGCAAAACTAACATTGCTTCATTGTAGAGACATTGCGGTAATAGATATGAGGTTGAAACTTGTGCAAACTGAGCCTTGTGGATGATCATTTTTTTATACAAAATTCACCTCTGTAGTTGAAATTAGAGATAATTGTGCAAAATTTAAAATAAATATCACTAAAGAAACCAGTATATTTCAAATTTAACTCCTTCATTTTCAAAAAGAAAAAGAAAAAGAAAACAAAAGAAACAAATAATGTGAATTTTATGTACCCTTTCAACAACGCAATTCATGACCAAGCTTTGCAAATAGAAAAAGAAAAACAAAACAAAATAAATAATGTGAATTATATTTACCTTTTTAACTACACAATTCATGACCAAGCTTTGCAAACTATATCTTATTTATTGCATATAAAAATACAGAAAGTAAATGTATAAATAAAGAGTACACTGAAACCAGGGAAGAAGGAGACCCCGCTCTAAACCCAAGTTCAAATATATAAGCACGCCAGGTAAAAACATCCTCCCAAAAAGTGGAAAGGCACAGTCCTCCATGAGATGATTTTATCTGATTTAACACAAAAAATGGAATATTTCCTAATCCAAACCCGACTGGCATTTCCAGTTAGCAAACTCTATTTAAAGAAATTTCCACTGCACCGATTACTGTAATCTAATGTGCCAAAGCAAGCGATCGATACACACCGCCCTAAGCCTACGAAGAAATATTCCTCAAAGCTCCTCCTCCTCGTCAGACTGGGGTGGGGTGGCGCGAAGCGAGCCTGGGCGACACTCTCCAACTCATCACACGTCCACTCCAACCCCACCCAAACCCTAATTTCGTCGCAGAAACGTTACCCGAGGATAAAGATGGCGGGGCCAGGAAGCGTTAAATCATGAGATTGCAAGAGCACTCCGGCGATCTTTTAGGATGATCCGCGGTCAATCAGACTCACATGCACCTCGCGACTAAAAATGCGAAAAACAAAATTCCTTCCTTGTGGACAAGAGAAAGGGGCTGGGAGGTGAGGGCAGGGAAAGGAAGGGATGGGACGAGAAGGGAAGGATCCATTCCGTTCTGGTGTCGCTTGCTGAGTGTTCGTCAGAGGGTTTGATTGTCTGCACAGCGCCGATTTTAGGCCATGGCGTGAAGCAGGAGGAGTAGAACAAGACTCCAGACGCCACACTGGCGTCACAGGTCCATTAGTAGGGACGGTGGCCTTGACTTGCGACCTCCCTGACGACTATGCCCGACAAGGTTAAAATTATCTGGCCGCGAATAGAGAAACGGCCAACACGAAAGGCGCCAACCACGGCGATTCAGTCGCCGACCTCAACCGATCCCGCAACGAACTAAACGTAACGTTGGAAAAAAGTAACCGTGAGGGGAAAACAAAGTATTTGGGTCTGAATTGTAAAAGTGGAGAAACCCATCGGGAGCCTGTTGTGGGTCTGTACATACAGGGGTAGAAGGAAAAGTATAAATAAATAACAATAGCAATATCAATAGTAATCATCATCCTCTTCGCGCTTGTACCGACATGCCCCTGCATACGCTTCCCTGTACCTGGTGAGCTCGAGTCCATCCGTCTCCCACACGAAAACGCGCAATTCGTGTTGTCTTGATGATGGTCTTACAAGCGAAGTTGAGAAACAGGCTGGATTGATTCGAGGAAAACCGGCTCGAGGTGGATAGACTCTTGGAGCTTGAATTCATCGTCCGAGGTTTTGAATCGTGGGTGGAGAGGGCGGTAAAGGCTACTGCCACTCTGTTCGTGTTTCCGCTCAGAGATTAGCACAATTGCAGTGGAGTTTCATTCATGTAGCGTGCATTGATTTCTTATGCCTGGGATTTGGTTCTGAAATTGCATCATTCCACTTCGAGAGGATTTGGTGTTTTCTTTCCTTTTTTTCTTTCTATTTTGCCTATTTTTATTTTTATTTTATTTTTTGTTGGGTTCCTTCAAGAGCATCACACGTTGTGGTTTCATGGATTGGTGCGGTGGTGCATGGGATTGTGCGTGAAGCGTGCGTGAAGCGTGCGTGAAGCGTTTTTGTCTTTTCTGGCGTGAGGCAGTGTTTATGTGCTTTGAGTGAGGGCCTTGCATTAAAGAGATCGAGGATCAATCATGATAGATAAAATATGCCGCTTTACTGTTGATGGTTATCATAACCGGGACACTGTTTCCATGTGTGGTTTTAGAAACCTGTTGTCAGTGTTGAAGAAGAGAGCATTCAGCTTGCGCAGTTGCCAAAAAATCTTCTTCCGATCTCGGGCAAGCAGTGCAATTGTATATCTGGAGGATGTGGGTTTATCGATGAAGTCTCTTCATTGTCAGGAGGAAGTTAGGTTTTTTTCTGCCGAGATCATGACCTAGTAACCCTAATTCGGCTTCTTGTCGGTAAAGTAGGGCGTAAGTTGTTGCATTTCTTATTTTTACGCAATTTTCAATTTCGTATATTTAACTTGAAACCGAGAACTATAAGCGTAGGGATTTTGCTACCCTTCAGCTTGGTCTTTGATAGTCGGTGGATGCATCAATGGTCTGTTTGGTTGTTCGCTTCGCCGTCGCTAATTGGTGGGGATTGACTCAATACATCCCTCATCCAACATAAATACGATAGTTTCATGGTATAATCATTGTTTTAAGGACGAGGACGAATTATTGAGACTCTTATGGTGGTTAGGAGTTATTCTCTTCATAAAGATTTTTCTTAAACCCGTGCATACTTGATTTGTTATCTTGCTGATGGAATACTTGTCATACACGTGCATGTCAATGGCCTGAAGATGTGATTCTGATTGCTCAGAAGTCCTGTATATTGTGTTATTCGATGTTGTTTGATATTTAGTCGTGGTGAAGTAGGCGAAGGAGAATTGCAATCGGAGCAGTTGATTAGAGCCGCATTCAGGCCGGAAGAGGTGATTTAACTATGGCAGAGACAGGTACTAGCAGAGGGGATGCAGGTCCCAGCAGGCAAAGAGTACGGCTACGTGTGGCAGGGGCGTGGTCAGGTACCTTGGAAGTGTCGCTGGATGAGTGGAGTGTGGAGAAGTTACGAACCGAAGTGTCCAGCCATTCTGGAATTGCAAAGGACTGTATAAAACTGATTAGCGCAGGTCGAATTCTTAAGGACGAAGTTGTGGGTACTGCCGATACACGCAAAACCTTGCGAGAGTTGGGAATTGGACCGAATTCAAAGCTATTGCTTACTAGAATCGCCCCTCCGCTGCAGACGAATTCAGTTGATGTAGAGCAGGAACGTGCCGAGCGACTTGCGCGTATCAAGTAAGTCTATCAACCCACAAATGAATTTTCAGTTCCTTGGTGCGCGTCATTCCTTACTGAGAGATTTAGCCCATAGGTTTTTTCTATTTGTATTTCATCCACATTGCTAGTATATTGGGTAACCGTTTCCTTGCACGACTTGAAGTTGCTGAGAGATTCCCGTTGGGAGAGTTGGAAAAAAAAAGACTAATCTTTAACGCTTTTGTCATATTTTGAATCCAGGGCGGCAGCAGATGCTATGTCGAAGAGAAGCGATGACGGCAGATTTCCTTCAGATGAATTCGATCTCCAGTTAGAGAATCAGAGTGGAGAAAAATTGACATTTAACTCAGAGACTGATCGCAGGTTCTTTTCTTGTTTCCTCTTCACATTATATCATGCAGTGTTTACCTCAGTCGATAGGGAAGTGCCCTGGTTCTTGCTTGCTTTTTGCAAGAACGCGTTACCTCCTGCCGGACACGGTATGGCTGCCCAGTGTTGTGGCAGAGGACCCTAATATCTGAAATGGTTGACTCATCAACCGTAACAATGGTTTCATTTTCCTTGAAAGATATGAATGGAACTATTCATAATTGGATGCATCATCACGGCAGGGCCCTTGTGATGGGGCTTATGTTGCATGCGAAAGCTCGGAGCATGCTTGAGCAGGGCAATTACCAAGAGGCATTGGAGGTCTTGGGGATGTCAGAGGTATGCAACGTACTCATACATTGCTACTTGGGAACGGATTACTTGAAACTCTAATCCTAAATGCAGACTTTTTCAGTTTCCTTCAGCTGTAAACCAAATGTGCACTTACGAATGGGATTTTGAAACTGGGAATAAAGTCAGGTGTCCTAAGTTATCATTTTAAAAACTTTCTTAGCATTGAACATGTGGGAACATGCGTAGTATGATTAATTCGGACAGAAGCAAGTCTTATTCCTGGATTGGAGGTAACAGTCATTTTCTGTGCAATCAAAATTGGCAGGAGTCCTTTTCTCTTTGCGATCGAAAATTTCTCGAGGTGACTACTCTTTACACTCTACTCAGCACTATTTTCAGTATGAAAATTTCTAGGTTTCGTGGACGAGCACTACTGCGTTGTCCTGGACCTTCTCTACGCAATTTGGAAATGGTAATTTTGCTGACTAAAAGACTTGTCTTGAACACAGGCTGTTGATAATGTGGCACTCCTTCAAATTGACACAGTATGGTGCTTGTTTATGTTACGGGATATTGAACGCTTATCTGTTGCAAGAGAGCGGCTGGCTCGCGCTCGAGATGGTTTGAAACGTTCGCATGGTCCGAATCTTGAGAGACTTCGGGTACTGCAAGGCGGCTTCTGTCCAGAGCTTGCATTGTATGCCTACCTATAAGCCTTCCTTAACAATTATGACTACACTTCAGAAATTTATTAATGAGGATGATTTTCCAATACTTTCAGCGAATTTCTTTTGCAATCGATGTGGCTCTATTTTGAAATGAAATACACCATGAAATACCACCTAGGATCTTGTTAAATCGCATCTTCAAGTTCAAGTATTTGTGCAGATGTTAAAATTTTCGTGTCATCTTAAGCATTAGGTAAGATCCTGAATTATAACTTTTACGCTGTGTATAGATACGTTCGATTGGAGCTCTTAGAGGGAGTAGTTGCGTATCACAGTGGGCAAACAGATGCAGCAAGGGCGTCTCTACTCTCTGCTCAAGAGAAATTCGAGCAGGTGCCCTACAACTGGAGCGTCCACTGAGCACTCTTTATCTGGATGTCGTTTATCTAGCATATACATGCTGACACTCTCTGTGGGACGCAGTTGCAAATATCGGACGAGCAAGTGGCAGCCCTAGCTCAAATGGGCTTTTCGATGAAGGAGGCTCGCAGGTCGTTACGGGTGTCAGGTAAAGATGCATCACTTGCTGTTGAATTTGTTATGAACGAGCGAGCCAAGGCACAGCAGAAGGCAGAGGAGGATGATCGTCGACAAACAGAGCGGAGGTTAGTAACCTCAAGAAAATATCTTAACTGATGATCACCGTACAGATAGCGCTCAGATTGCATCGTTCATTTCGAGAAAAGATTTTTACAGCAGTTTGAGCTCGTTTCAAATGTTGGCTGGCCTATTGTTTATCGCAGGGAACAAAAGAAGTATGGAAAGACTGTAGGTGGTAAGGGTGTCGACATAACAAAACTGAACGAATTGGCGTCTTTGGGGTAAGCTTCTGTTCATGAGTGAATGTGATGTACTTCACTGTTAATTATGACTTTTCAGGTCGGCTTGGACTGCAGGGACATAAGAATTTATTACTTATTACTAGCATTATCTGTACGTTTTCTGTGTACCTTGTACAGTGAGCAGTGAGTCTCATGTAGGTTTATATTTATTATAATCAAGGGCACGGACATGATGGTCAAGTGCTTTTGATTATCTACTGACTCATTCAGGTACATGACAGGATGGATGAGTGGGCATGACAGGTATGAGCGGCGTATACTTGCGGAGGCTCTGAAGCAGAGTGAGAATAATAGGGAGTTTGCTTTGGAAATGTTGATGAATCCGACATCCTATTCTACTCTCCAGGTCTGTACTCAATGTTTTGCACTTGTAGCTGAAAATAATTGAGATCGACCCTGACTTTTGGACATGTTGGGAGCTCAGGCTTCTGGGACTCCTGGATATTACTGGTTTTGGTGCGATTGACGATATAGGTGTGATTATTAACATTTTGATGCTTATGAAACTAAGATTTAGACTTCGTATATGCAGGCATCCTTGCTAGAAAATAAACGAGAATCTGTAGACAGTATAGCGCTTGCTGAGTTGATGTCAATGGGCTTCAGCAAAGATAAAGGTACACATAGGATACCCGGATGTTGCTTCCTACTAAGTTTTCATGTCTATTGTTGATTGATAACCTTTTCATGGTGTAATCACTGGAACCTGTTGTACGACTTTAGTCTTTTGAATGCTTTTGTTTCATTTTGAAACATTTCTTGGTTAGAACACCGCCGGGTAATGTAGACTTTCCCACAATGTTTATCAAATGAAGACATTTTATTTATTTGATTCGAATGTCCTGATTTCAGAGATGCATAGGGTTTGTTTATTTAAGGGGCATCTGTATGTTTCATTGTCTTAGGACAGTTCTAGAAGACTCAAGTGTAGATTCATGTTCATAATAAGTGGTAGATCATTCTACTATAGTTCCTACGTACAAACAAAACAAATACGTAATTGTGACCAGGTTTAAGAACTACATGGATGACTTCCTCATAGCTAGTTGGGATTTAACGGGTTTATTCACGATTCCACTATTGCAGCGAAGAAGGCGCTGCGAGGATCCACTGACACTACCCAGGCACTTGAGAGACTAATCCAAGACTTGCAAGACCACACCAGTGAAGGTCCCGAAACCGAGTCTAAGCAACGGGAGTCTGAGGTTTCAGCCGCAAGTGCGAGTGACGCAGCTTTGCTTGATAACTCCATATCCCCTGAAAGTCCTGCATCAACGGACCTTGACCCTCGTGATGAAGAGATGGAGGAAGAGATTGCGCGAGAGATTACTGGTGATCCTTTTGCGGAGTATGATATTGAGGTGAGCAAAGAAGGTGATGCCATTTCTGAGTACCTTGCGTTGCTAAACAGCAATTGCGCACCATTCACACTATGAACTGTTTTGCTTTTATTCTGAAAGACGCCATTTTGGGAGATATTATCGTGTGTCGGAAGAAGCTTGATTTGCATACAACATCCTGTTAATTTTATCATGTAGGGACAATTCGAAACAAATCAACATAACCAGTGTTTCTTGATAAAAGGGGGTCGCTAATGAAGAATTTAGCGATTCCTGGTTGAGAATACTTGTGGGAATATTGTATATCCAATCTGGTATATAAACAGTTTTGGTTATTAGTGGTATTGTAATGGATCCCGGCTCATGGATTCTTTGTTTGCTACCCTTCGGATCTATGCGAAATGTTTTATACAATTATAAAGTTTCATTTTAAGGTTTTTGATTACCAGTGTTAGAGCAGTCGATGGAAGGCACATTTGCTGTGACATTTAGATTTTTAGGCGAGAGGGAGCCAGTCTGTTCTGAATCTATCATTATGCACACCTTGAATGGTGCAATGGTGCTATTTGCATGCATGCTCAAGATTCACTCATTTCTATCTGCAAGTTCAGTGGTGAGAAGTATCCACCTCCGCATGTGGGTCCCTGTGGCTCAAGGCTATATAATCAACGACAGCCAAGCTTCTGCACAGAAAGAAATCTCAAAGTTTCGTCATGCCTGAAATTCTATGATTAATGAATTCTATTATTATCTTGTGGAATGGCTCATTTATCACTACTCCGAAGGATTTTGAGTCCCATATCGTATGAAGTATACAACAGACACACCTCTCATGAAACTGAGGGTTACAGAGAACAGTCGTGGACACGCAACGGGGATTCAGTCGCTGAAAAGGCATCTGTATTCATGGATATCGGGAGCTGTTTCAGCGTCAGAATATCAAAAGCTGAAAGCAGTCAATCAGCGGAGGCTTAGATTACCTACTCTCAGAAATCATATTAAATGAAGAAATATGAGCAAGCAGCAAGCACGAGGAGTCGTTGCACGTGCACAAACTTCGGCATAGAAATGGTCTGCGCGGGACCATTGTTGCTCGGATGGGAACTGAAAAATGATTCAGGGTCCCTCTGTAGAGACTGTCGCAACTTGCAAGTCTCTACACTGAACGAGCACATTATAAATATCATCGTAAAGCTTCGTTCAATACGTGATCTTACCTATGCTTACATGGTGCTTTAGCTTGAACGATCTATTGTGCCAAGGACAAAGATCGGAGACGGCCTCGGACTTTAAATACGCTCGTTTTAGTCTCAATCTTGGTGCGCTCAGAGTCCGAGGCTGCTACCACCGGACATTACGAGAATCTGGTACGTATTTGATGGAATCTTAGTTAAAATTCGGGGAGGTTTAGCTCATTTAGGGAGCATGCACTGGCTGCATTGACTCTTTCCTCGCTGCTCTGTGTGTGGGATCTGAACAATTGCGGTGGGTCTGGTATTGTGTAGTTTGCTTGGCATCTCAGTAGCCTGCCTGCTTAGACTTCCTGTTCGCGTAGATAGCAATCTTGGATCAAATTTTGATCACGAGAGTTTTGAGATAGAAATGATTAACAAAATCTAAAGGTTGGTGGTTTGATAGGATATTTCTAAGATGTTTGATAGAACCCTTCTTGCAGATAGAAGAGAACGATGCGAACCTTGACTCCACTTTGAGCTGTAAGAGCTTTGTCACATCATTGTTGCTTGTTACACAGAGTGACTTGCTCAGAGACCACAATTCTCTTGCTCTCAAGCCCTTCCTTGAGATCGACTGTATTTCTGATTGTGCTAGGGGATATCATTCCCTGGCTTGACTCCAAGATAATAGTGGGCATGATTTTCCAGTTCACAAATGCCTCAGTCGGACATAACTTGCAAGCATCTTTAATTTGAATATCGACTTCACTTCTAAGGCCTATAAGCTATGGCGCACGCCACGGTATCAGGCTCAACTGTCGCAGCTCACACCAAACTGAGCAGGGCCTCTGTTCTGCACAAGCAGAAGGATTTTGCCAATCCTCTTGTGCTGTCGATGCCATGGCTTGGAAGACGCCACCGCTACCCCAGTATTCTAGCGACTCGACTGACTGGTGCGACTACCACCACTACTGGTGACAACGACGCAAGTATTACGTCGGAGGCGACCGCCGAAGGTGCCATATCCAAACCGAAAGCCGTTAGGACACGATCTCCTGCAGGGTGACAGCGGTGACAGCGATCGTCAAAAAAAAGCGTCTCAGTAGAGAAGAGCAGATGATAGACGCTGCTGATGTTCTCTCCGATATGATTGGGAACAAAATTTTCCTCCAGCTCGTTAGTGTCGAAACCGGTGCAGGTAAAAACCGACTATTCGCATTCCGCACTTCACATGTTTGATGCAGCAGTCCAGTGAGTTGAAGTCGCAATTTCATCGCTGGTGTCGAACTTTTCCAAAGGTTGCCAGGGAGCTTATTTGGAGGTTTGTTATCACTCGACGTTAGCTACAGGAGTCAAGATTTGGTACCTGACTACGTTTAGAGTTGATCTTCACAGCAAGCGGAATTGGCAAACGAAGTAAAGATATTTTCATCAAGGACTGGGCAGAGAAGGCAACAGTACAAGCCGACAAGGTGCAATATACGGCAGAGTTCAGCATAGACGCGGGATTTGGAGAACCAGGAGCTGTTTTGATCCGTAACACGCACCAATCCGAAATTTATCTGGAGTCTATCGCCCTGCAAATGCAATCAGAAACTGTTTATTTCCCATGCCACTCGTACATTACGGCTTTCAGTAATGATCCTAAACCACGCGTCTTCTTTAGCAATAAGGTACTCTTGCGCTTCACAGTGCTGGTCTTCAAAGAAGGATTATATCATGTATTCTAGAGAATCTTAAACATGATGTATATGTTCTGAATTACTGGATTCCTTCCAACTTTTAATGCCTGTTAGCATTTCCCTGTTTCTCTCCAGCGACTCTATGGCCACTTTTACTTAACTCCTCACTTGAACTATCGGTCGAGGTGTACATGCCTTGGGAAACTCCACCTGGACTGAAGGATTTGCGAGAACAGGAATTGAAAACGCTACAAGGGAATGGCAAAGGCGAGCCCAAGAGCTGGGAGCGCATTTATGATTACGATGTTTACAACGACCTTGATGATCCTGACAAGAGTTTTGAACTTTAACGTTCCGTTTTAGGGGGCGAAAAATTTCCATATCCTCGCCGAGTTCGCAGCGGACGTGATCCTTGTAAATCTGGTACTTCCTCTACTTACTCGATTGTATTCGTAAAATCGGTGCAACAATTCCTACAACTGATAGTCTGGTAATCTGCGTATTCTGCTGTTGCAGATCCGACGAAAGAGGAGAAGGTTGCGAATGGAGAAGCGGTATATGTGCTTCGCTACGAGTCTTTTGAGCCAATTAAACAAACCAACTTCATTGTATGGAAGTTGCGTGGTCTTGTTCATAAATTGGTGCCATCGGTCAGGGCTTTACTGGGCGCGACGCCAGGAGAGTTTGATGATTTTAGAGATATTGAACAGTTATACTAAGATGAGAAGCAAATTGCGTGAGAAGGCAACCAAAGCCTTTGGGATTTCAAACATTGTGAGAGGGTTTGGAGCTGCTGACCAAGAGAGAAATCGTTTCATAGATGGTCTTCCACTTCCCGATTATTACAAGGCATTGATACAACCAGACCCAACCCCGACCAGCCTTCTCAAATACCTTCTTCTAAAGATTCTTTCGAAGGATAGGTTTGCTTGGATCCTAGATGACAAATTTGCTAGTCAAACTTTGGCCATTGTAAATCTTGTTGTGATCTCTTGTCTTGAAGTAAGTTCATGTCGAGTCCTTGTGGATACTTCAAAAAACTTGTTGATGGAGCAAATAAAAATTGTTGAAATAAGTCACTTAGTAAAAAGTATTATCTTAGGTCAATTGCTAGTAGTCAAAAGGAGGCAAAAGAGTATAAGGAAGTTACTATGGTGGTATGTAGGATTTGTAGGTAGTAGCTAGGTTAAGAAAAAACCTAAGGTTTAGTTGGATGAAGTAGAAATGGATGTAACGTTAATGGAAGTTGCTTCATTAGTTGGCAACCACCACCTATAAGTAAGAAGTGTTGGAAGTAAGAGTCATCTTACTCCATACTCCCTTTTGTGTACAACCTTGCTAATGCTAAGTGTTGTAACTTCAAAGTGCTTGTTCTTCAATAGGTTATGATAATTCGATGTTTACAACGACCTTGATGATCCTTGATTTTCTTTGATACACCTCTTTCTTAGACATGGTTGCAAGTGATGGTGAAGGTTTGAGAATAATTGAGAAGTTTAGAGGTGACAACTTCTACCATTGGAAGAAGAAAATGGAGCTCTTGTTGGCTTCATTAGACCTTTGGGACATTGTTGATGAAAGTGAATACCCTCTAAGTGACAATGCTGATGTGAAGATGAAGAAAGAGTACAAACGACGTGAAAGGAAGGCTTTTGGTATAATTGCAATAAATCTTAATGATGCCAATTTTTCACATGTAATTACTTGCTTTGGACCAGCGAAAGCATGGAAGACTCTTTCCAACATCTATGAGAGTAGAATTCTTGCCAATATTCTATGGACAAAAAGGAAGTTCTTAATAATAAAGATGGAAGAAGGAGATGACATCATGGCTCATATCAACAAAGTAAAAGCACTTGCAAATCAACTTGCAGTTGTTGATACACCAGTTGATGATAGAAAAATTGTTTTGACATTACTCATGAGCCTTCTCGAGTCCTACAACTACCTCATTGTGGCATTGAAGTCCATCAACATGAAGGAACTTATTATGAACTATGTCATGTCAAGACTTGATCATGAAGTAATGAAGAGAAAAAAAAAAAAAAAACATCAAAGTGAAGATTTGGCTCTATTCTCAAGACAAGGCAAAGATAGCTTTTTTCATCAACATGATAGTTCAAAGAGCAATATGAAAAATTACTATATTTGTGGAAAACTAGGTCACTTTACTAGGAATTGCTACAAAGCCAAAAAAGAGATAGAGAGAATGCAAATAATACTTGTGATAACTTTGGTGAACATGACTATACTTTCATGGCAAGTGAAAGAACCTCTATGGCTGCGATGTCTAAGTGGATTATAGATTTAGATGCTACTAAACAAATGACAGTATATAAATATTCATTTGACACTTATGAAGAAATTTCAGCAACCAAAGTTTGGTTGGGAGACAATAGCATGGTATAAGCCATTGGAATTGGCTCAATTGTTGTGGATATCATTGTGAAGGACCAAATGAAGAGGATCAAATTAAAAGAAGTCTTACATGTATCAAAGATGAAAAGAACCTCCTTTCGGTGAACAA